TAGGTGTGTGTGTGTGTGTGTGTGTGTGTGTGTGTGTGTGTGTGTGTTGGTGTGTTACAATGTGTCAAGTATGTTAAAAACGATAAAGACTAATGAAATGTTAAAATTTAGTAATTTTAATATTAAATATAGCTAAATTAATTAACAAAACAAAAAGATAAACAATATTTAGCACGCAAAATGGCCATTCGATTGGCAACCCTGATATTATATGACGATCTTTTCGCGTTGCTCCAACTTCACTATTCGTCTCGTTTATATACAGATACAAAAATGGAATCGTACTAATTCCAATTTTCTTGTTTCTCTAATTGAGTTTTCCTTGTTTAACATAAAAATAAACAAACAAAAGAAAAACATTAAGAATAATCACCTAATTTGTACTAATTTCAATTTTTGAATCGTCTGTTGATTCTACTTCTTAAAATTATTATTGCTGTTTTCAGAAGATGCAATTGAAATTAACAGATTCTACTTCTCTTTGAAAACGGACATTTTTGTCCGTTAACAAGTGTCATGCAGGATACATGTGTAAGTTGACAAAGCTGCGAGAAAAACGCTTGCATCCTCTAGCGATTAGATCACTCTAAATACGCTTATAATAATAATAACAACGGTTACAAGTAGGTCCGTTTTTAAAGCTTATTTAGATACAGATTCAACCAATCGTTTAATACATTCTACATAAAGAAACCAAGTCGATAACAATACAATGAATGTTATTACGTTATTACGTTTTTTAGGTTAGAAATACACAATTTATAAATTTCTCCTTACACAATTAGGCAAACATAATCGAGCATTGCTACGTATATATGAATAAGGATATAGTAATATGGATAACATTGAAGCATCGAGGAAAGAAAATATCCATTTAATATCGCTGCAAATGGACTAACTCGAGAAAATTTGCGCTATTTCAATTGAGCATCATAAATAATAAAAAAAGAATACGTATAGAAACTTACAAGCTCTCTACCGAAGGCGATGAACGAAGACTACGACGAAGTGACAACAATCAGGATTATTTGCGACAATGGAGCGACGAGCAGCGACGCTCTTTTGTATTCCTCCCTCTCCAACATTACCTTCCCACTACCATAGAACATCTGATTCACAGCGGGTGACAGCAGCCAAGTCTTCCGGCATATATCGGCGTTGTTTAGATGCACATGGCGCAGCGCAGCGCGGTGCGTTTGTTGCTTATCAAGTTGGTTCGTCGAATTCCAACGCGATGAATTTTCGTCGTTCCATGCCGCTTTGCGCAAAACGAGACGCGACGATTATGACGTCGCCAGTCATGTGCCTACGATAAGCGAGTATCGAGTAACCCAGATTTATAATTATCTTCGTAAGGGGAAGCTGCGAAACATCTCTTTCGTGAACGATAACTCGCGATCAAAGCCCGCACATTACATTGACCATATCACATTTCACTTGTTTTGAGCGATAAATCGAACACTTGTAATCGATCACGCATTATGTGGCAGATGTTTTCTCACAATGTATAAGATATTTTATAGACTTAGCTTTTTATTTGGAACAAAAATTGCGAGATTGTGTATGCATGATTGAAGTATTTTTTATATTCGAAAAGAAAACGTTGTATCAAAAATTGTCGCGTTTTTTTCATATTTTTATTTTAAAGTAATGTTAGTTTCGTATTTTTGTGATTATCGGTCGGTAAATATCGTGCACTTGTTCGTACGATAAAGCAGAGAAGAGACAAGATCGAAAGATAATTTTACGAGAAATTAGAAGTTATGTCGTCTAAAAAGATATATAATCTCACACCAAGGGAAAAAGAAGTCGCGTTGTGGAGAGATGCGAAACGGAAGCAGTTGCGCGAAATGTATCTGAAAGATTCGGGACATCCGACCAAAAGCCTCCTCGTATGTATTTATGCGGACATTTAACCTATCCTAACCTATAACTCCACAAATATTTACATTTGTCTTTACGCACAATTTTTATATTTGACTTATATATTTTTATATATTTTATTCATCATTTATTGGTATTTTATTTTATTACTTATGAATTACTTTATATATATAGATATTCAAAGTTCAATATTTTTAGAAAACGTGAAACGATATTTAATGTTAAAAGTACACATAACAAAATAACAGTAATTAAAAATCGTAGCATTTATGTATATACATGCATAATTATAATTTTTACTTGAATCACTTCTATTTATATATACTTGAAATATATAATTATTGATATAGAAATTATGTAATACATTCTGAAATCTCTAAAACAACAATAATAATTGTATTTCAATATTTAGTAATTTGTTGATAATCATGAATGTTTAATAAATGCAAATTTTAAATTTTGTCATGATTATTCATTTTATGTATATAGTTTGATACAGGAATATATAGATGGTCTGCCACCAAAGCATCGGCAGAGCTTTATTTTGTACCTACAGCAATAGGATACATCACACGAGTGGGATTTATTGCAGGTCTTATTGCAGCTACTGCATGGATTATAAAAACTAGAAGAGTAAGCTAAATACATTTAAGGACCATGAAAAAATAGTTATATAAAGATATAACTGACGTATCTATATTTTCTTACAGGATACACGAGAACATTTGTATCGTACTGGACAAATCACTTATGCAGATAGATCGCATAGATTCTGTTAGTTTATTTTAACAAAATATACATAGTTGATGTATTTAACTTAATGGTAGATTGTATAAAAAAAAAAGAGAAAATAAAATAAATCGTTACAACAAGCAATATATAAATATATTGATATCAAATGCAATGTGTCATTAGAAAAAATAAGATTGGCAAAGGAAAACATTAAAGATTTTTATAAGCATATAGTTATGAAAGTTTGACTATAAGAAACTTCAATTTTAAGATATGTACATATAAAATATAAGTTTAATACGAGTTTAATAAAGACTATGGATTTATCATAATAATTAATAAGATAAATGTATAGATATTATATATTCTTTTTTAGTGTAGGAAAAGTAATGTCTTTATTATCGATCTTCCAATTGCTTGTCACGTGCAACAACAGCATCATCAAATTTAACCATGTATGTGGTGCCTTTGTGCCAGTGTGCTGTTACTTTTGCGGGCTGCAATATTACAGAACAATCTTACAAGTTGTTTTTTTGTCTCATGAAGGTATATAAAAGTGTATAAGTATAAAAATTAAATATTGCCTTGAAAAATGCTAAAAGATGCTTACAAAACCACAATCACAAAGCACAGCCTCCACAATACCGGCAACGAAAGATGCACAGTTCAAACTTCCTTTGTCTTTGGGTACTGATACAAATTTATTTACCAAGGACTCTTTTTCAATTATGTAATAAGTACGTTCATCATCATTGGCATGTTCCAGTTTATCAGCCTCTCGACCAAACAGAGACTTCCACACTGTACTTTTGACAAATAGCAATACATTAAGCAATTTTATCTCGCGTTTGCCACCTTTTTCTCGTACCACGAGTAGATCTGTTATTCTATGCCCAACTTCTGCTCCAATTTCGGCCAGTCTGATCATAGTGGAAAGAAAATATATTTTTGAATAATTGCAACATGAATGATAAAAAATAATTTACTTTTCTTACTTATTTTGCAGTTCTGGAACGGTATATACTCTGTTTTGACAGTATTGTACCAATTCTGAGAATAAAAGAGCAAAACAGCTCAAGCTAACCTCCCCCTTTCCCTTGCTTAAGGATTTGTCGAGGATACTAGTTCGTGGTCTTATAGCAGATATCGTTATGCTAGACATCTTTAAGTAAATTAATTTTTTTATGTAATTTTTACAAATATATCGCCAGGAAACGTACAAATATTTTACTGTCCAAATATTGTTTTCGTGTACACTGTGCCGCCATTATTTTGCGACACATCTGACATCTGGCGATTAAAGCTAATATTATATTTGTCGTATAACAAAATTTTTAAACGTATCGATTGATTACAAAATATAGAAAAATCTTGAAGATCTTAAAACTTCATTGTTGTCACATTATGACAATAGTGAACCTGGTCAACATATTGTATAACAAATGTATTGTATAATAAAAAAAATTGTGTTGTATAACAAATGTAATATTAATTTAATAAATCCGTTCGAATATCTTTTTTCAATTTTTAAACAATATTCGGTTAAACAATATAAAAGTTCGTATAAAAGTTCGAATTGAAATATATTTAAAATTGAAAATTTTTTAACATTTTGAGTTTAACATTTCGAATATCTAGACTAAACATACAATTTTATTTATTTATTTAGAGATAAGATAGATTTTTATTTTGTTTACATATTTGTACAATTTATTTCTCAAAAATACTCTAATTTCTATTCAAATAAAAAATATGAATAAGAATAATCAATTATTCTGCTGCCAAACGCATGATTCAATTTATATAACGTTCTGAGATATCATAGATAAATTATTATAATATATATATTTATACCTTACAGTATATATGGGGACATTTTCACAGAAAATCTTTTTTATTGTTAGTTAAATGATATGGATTATGAAATTTTTAGATGGACAGTACTTCAAAGCCTCGTCCATATATACAAACAGTATCGTTCTCCCTATTAATAAAACATTTACTTTTGTAAAATAGTGTCGCAAGAAAATATATAATTGTAATATTCAATAAACTTTTAAACTCTTACCTATCAGAACGCCATAACTCCATACCTTGTACATCTGGGACAGAAGTAAATACTTGAGTTAAAATATCTGCATGTACAATCCCATTGAAACACGAATACCTGTGAATGATGATTTGTTGATCTATTCCCACACTACATATTTGATCTTCATCTTTAAATTTCACACCTAGTAGCATCATATTTTTATAAATTTTTATAAAGTACGTAATATATGTATAATTTAAAAGATGTATAAATTTATTAAAGCACCTGTGATTTGTGTGGAATGTGCAGATGTTGTGCTCCATTTAGATAATATTTTAGCAGATAACTTATTATTTTCTGATACATAAATTTGAAAACAGACAATATTGAGAAGATTGTCATCGCCACCAGTAGTCAAGAGATATTCGTCCTCACGTATATGTTTTAAATCAAAAGAATTAATTCCAGATTGATGCAAACTAAATTCTGCTAACGGAACATCATTAAAATCTATAATATTTTGGTTTCCAGAATTTGCATCCTTGTATATTCTTGAGATTATGTCAGTGAAATCGAAAAAACGTAATTTTCCATCAGTAGTCATCGTTAATATAATAATTTTGCATTTGTGTGATAATATATGCATCTTTAAGATGCAACGATCTATATATTTAGTAGATACTTTTAAATATATATTACTAGTTACAATATCATACACAAGTAATCTGTAAAAAGAATAAAAAGAAAGAACAATATTATTTTATAATTTTTTTCAAAATAGTGTATCATGCCTGATAAATAGGTCAAATTACCTTAAATATCCATCTCCACAACCTATGAAGACTAATACATAATTTAATTGGTCAGAAGAATAATATGTATTAATGTTCATGTAACGTGTTTCTGGTTCTACTTTACAAGATTGTTTACCTTCCTGCCAAGGTTTTTTACAATATTGATTTTGATCATAAAGCATATGAGAATTCATATCAGAACACCATATATTTAGCTGTACTTTTTTCGTTTCTGACTGACCATATCCAAAATTTATCCCCCAAACTTTTAACTGTGCTCTCCCCCCACCAGAAAAGACTAGGTATTTGAACGTAAACTTGTGTAATTCAATAACGCTTATACATTTTATGCCTGAAAGATGGCCATCAAAAATTCCTAAATTCTTGAAGGTGTAAAAATTATCTTCATTTTTAAAAAAACTACTGATGCGAAGAGTACAATCTTCACCACCAGATATGAAAATATCTTTCTGACAAAAGTTTGATATGTATCGCAAGCAACATGTTTCTTTCACGTGAAAACCATTCTAGATAAGAAAAAAAGAATGATAAATTGATGTAGATTTTCTTTTAAAAAATAATGTTACATACCTGTAAAGTAGGATATGAAAACAAAACAGAAGAAGACAAATCACATATATGAATCTGCTTATTTTTTAGATAAGCAAAATTTGCTTTTGTATGTGATATTATACAGTCCCACGATCTATGACCGCCACCGCAAGGAATTCTGACTACTATGGTCTCGTTCAATAAATTATATATTATAAATTCCACCTGAAATTATTATATCAGAAAAATTTCTTCTATATTTCTTCTCTTATTTTCTATTATTATCTTCTATTATTAACATATATCTTTCATTTTATACCTCTTTAAAACCAAATATAAAAACATTCTTATCCTCTTTTATTTCGCCGACTTTTTTCATTTTCACTTCTAATATTCTACTAATCCAGTCCATTGGCATCTTCTTTTTGTGCAACATTAATAAGGGTTTTGTTTCTTCACGCACTTGATAAAATCTCAATATTCCATCACGCCCAGACGTAATTAAATTTTCTCTAAATACACTAAACGACTGAACTCCCATTTTACCATGAACTTTACTAAGTGTTTGAATAGGTTTTTCAAGATTTTTATCAATATATTTGTTAATATTACAATATATTTTATATACATGAACATTCCCAACTCTATCTCCACATATTAACATTGACATAGGAGTATAGATTGTAGCTGCGGTTAACCAACATTCTCGACTGGGAGGTAATATATATTGTGCTAGCATTTGAAGTTCACCTACATAAAACCTTAATATTAAATATATGTTCTAAAGTAAATTACAATATGATTTTGTGTGTGTGTGTGTGTGTGTGTGTGTGTATGTGTGTGTAATATACATACAATTCTCTGTACAAAAGAAAATTTTAAAAGACCATTTGCTCCACATGCTATTAATTGATTGTCACTCAACCATTGCAAAGAAAAGATTTGTGAGTTCATTATTTTTCCTTTCTCATATTGTCGTAGAGTTCCGAAATATTCTAAAAATAAATTTTAATTTAAATTATTTGATTCATGGTTTTACTAGATGACTCAATTAATTAAAATAATTTGAATGAAAAAATCAATATTTTTATAAAATATCTTTTCATTGATATCAAAATTTCTCTTGTATAATAAGTGTTTTTACCTTTACATATCATTATGTATCCTTCTCTAGATGCTAAAGCAACAAAACAGCGATTTGGAGAAACTTGCATAATATAATAGCGATTTTCTGTTAAATATATGGTACTCTTATACATCATTTCTTCATCATAATGTAGCAGTGTTCCCAATTCAGTAAAAACCAAAATTGTGCCATCGTGCAAATAAGATATGTATCGAGGAAAGTCACATGTATTGCCAGATAAAATAGTTGTTTCTGGTCTCTTGCAGGATCCAAAAGGTTGTATATGTACAGATCCATCACCTCCACCCGCATATATCATGTTGTCTTTAGACATATCAATGCTCCATATAGGTGCTCTATAATAGGCTTTATTAAGTACATTACCTGATGGTGACCATGTACATATAAGTGAATCCTGGAACAATAAGATTTCATAAAAATGTACACATTTATATAAAATCAAGTTATAATTTTCATATATAAATTTAAATCTCACTTCTCCTATTGTCAAAATAATGTCATTTCTGATTATAGCTTTCCAAACTCTTGCTGTATGTACAAATATTGTTTTTATTGGCACTAGTTTTACTGTCTTCCAATTTATATTACTTTTGGAATTTTCATGTTTGATTTTCCAGAATCTGACACTTCTATCGTCAGATGTAGAACAAATAAATTGTAAACATGGGTCACAAACAACAGAAAAAATAACACCCTGAAATAAATTTACAAGATAAGATTTTTATTTTATTTTTATTTCTATTTTTAAATATGATTGTCAAACCTTGTGTCCTGTTAGACGATGCAAAACTGGCATATTTTTATTAGAATTATAATATTTAGTATCTATTTCCCATATTAAAATTTCTTGGAACACAGTTCCACTGAAAATGACTAAATTCTCTTGAGAAGTTTCTAATATAGAACCACCATAGCTAAATGTTAATTAAGAAAACTCACGATTTATATATTTTCAATAAAAAAACTAATTAATGAAAATTATATAAGGATACAGTATGCATGTTTTTTCACAACTTATAACTTGTGAAGTTTTATGAAATATATCATATATAAATAAATAATTATGAGCAAATAAAATTGCCAATTGCATTCGTTCCTTGAACAATATCCATTCTATAGCAATTATCCAATCATTGAATTGATCAGTGCTTTGTTTTTCAATTCTATAACAACAAAAAATATTGTATATATAATTTAATGTTAAAACTATCAAATGTATCATGCATTAAAAATTATATCTATTTGTCATATTTAAATATAATTTATGTACTTTATTCCATATGCTTCTTCAACAATATTACATATACATATAGACTTGGCACCAAATACAGCCAATTTTTTATTTGTTCCTACCACAATCCCATGTATATTATTCGGATACAAGCAATCCAATTTATATTCTAATTTAGAATGTCTAAAGACATGAAGAATTGGTCCCATTCCTGCAATAAAATATTATAATAAGCGTCTACAAATTGCAAAAAATTTACAATTGATTTTGAATTATCAAATTTATATGTATGTATTACTAATCTTGTGTATTAACACTAAAAAATTTGTTATCCTTAATGTAATATAATTGTTTAAATAATATTAATACATATTATACACAAATTATAATTATATTGGTGCTAATATTATATAAATTATATAAATTATTTATTTTAATCGTACCAATAACTAACCTACGAATACGAGATCTTCTACACATCGAATAGCTAAAACGTCTGTACATAATAATAACGATGCCATTTCGCGTATGATAAAATATTATTTTATCATAAGTAAATGCATCGAGATGTAATCACGATTGTTTCACGCTGATTTCGAGTACGATATTCATACTTCATATCCTAGTGCATTTGTCACGTATTCAGGAATGTGCCAGGTTATGTTTGGGCGATGTAACTAACGGACGCACTTGGACCTGAGTGTACATACATAACATGGAGCATAATTTCGGGGTGAATTCTCCTGCAAATTATGCTGCGATATTGAAAGACAAGCACATTATTCTAGAGGCTAGAAATCTACATTCGCGCATGACGTGATTGTCACTCTCGTCAACGGTAAAAAAAATTTTTGGTGAACATCGTAAACGAGCGAACATGTGGGTGTTTGGTTATGGTTCCTTGATATGGAAAGCGGATTTTCCATACGAGAAGAAGCTTGTCGGTCATATCAAAGGATATGTCAGGCGTTTTTATCAAAAAAGTACTGATCATAGAGGCGTGCCCAATAGAGTAAGTATCCTCGGAAAGAAGGTACACCTCGAGATAGTTTTGATTAGCTGATAACTATAGTTATCAGTTTCTTTTATATGCAGGTATTTTTTTAAATACATCATTGCCCCGAGAAGTATCTGATTGACTTCTTGCATCGATAATAATTTTCTGCTTTTATTTTAGCCTGGACGTGTGGTAACATTACTCGCCTCTACTAATCCCGATGACGAAGTATGGGGACTTGCCTATAAGATATCTTCCGAGAACATAGATAACGTGGTGAACCATTTGGATTTTCGAGAAAAGGGTGGTTACATAAAGAAAACGGTTCTCTTTTATCCTTGTGATTTCTCAAAATCTATCCAAAGCGGTTCAAATGCCAATGTGTCTTTAAATGATTTTTCGAAAACAAACATTTCAACATCATCTCTGTCGACTGCTTCAAACGAAGCTCCGTTCTACCTCACTATTTATATAGGTGAAGAAGATAATCCAAATTTTGCTGGTATAGAGAACATAGATACCATTGCAAGACACATACTTGTTTCACGTGGTATCAGTGGTTCTAATATAGAATATCTCTATAAATTAGCGTCTGCAATGCGTACAATAGCGCCTGGTGTGCAAGATGAACATTTATTTGCCTTAGAGAATGCCGTAAAACAATTAGAGCGTGAAAAAGAATCATTGGAATTAGATGAATTTTCATAAAACATAGTGTATTGAAATAAGAAAATATGGCCAATTGTATCAGTCAGTATTTTTCAACTGTAATTAATATGATTTTTTCTTTCCATGTAAAAAGTTTTTATAATTTTGTTTATGTAAAGTAAATTGTAATAATTTCATTATAATATGAATTTAAAAGTAATTTTAACTAAGTTAATAAAACAAGACTGTTGATGCAATTGGCCGGGAAATAAAAAGATGAAACATCCTTGCAATATCCAAAGCAAGTAGAAAAAATTATACTTCCGATTATAGAATGAGTTTTTCTAAAGCCACGATGAAAAATATTTATTAAATAAATTATATTTTTGTAATTATATGATCTATAATTTTTTCAAGAATCACGTTTGTAATTTTTATCATACAATAATTTATAAAGTGCAATTTTTTTAAAAATAATAATGATTGATTATTAAATAAAATTTTTAAATTCTAGTGGCAAGAGTTATTATATATATATATATATATATATATATATATATATATGCAATTCGTGACACACACCACGTGCGCGCGCACAATTACACGTGTTACTCATCGGCATAAGGTTTTTGGGACTGAAAGTTGTCTTTTTATGAAAACGCGTAATAATTCAATAACCAATCAAAAGAAAATACGAATATTTTTCTGCGCATGCGTATGTATTGTGATAATATCTGTTATCTTTTGTAGCTGTACGTATTAATGTATACTCGTACTTTCTAATAAAAGAATAGGAAAGGAATAAGTAATAAATTAATATCATTGAAGAATCGAAATTTACGATTAAATCTCTACGTAATTTTTAGAAACGGCCTGAAAAAAGCCAAGTGAAGTATTCACAGCATCTGTTATTTTTATCAATTGAGCGCCATTTGATGCGCGTGCGCGAGATTTTAAACTCGGCTAGCAACAATGCGACCAATCCAGATGAGGCATCGAAAGATTTAAACTTAAACGCGTACAACGATTGCAACGTACTCTTAATTCTGTCGTTGGGTCGTTGGTTCTGTTCTTGAAACGTTCGCTGACGTATCGTTCCGTCTTACCTACAAAGATTTTTCTTCATATTGATAGATTTTCCTATATATCGAGCGAAGATAAGAATAAAACTCCAAAAGAAGAAATTTTGGTGTATAAATTCTCAACGAACAATTTGTATGTGAAACGAGAGTCGTAAATAACATAATTACATGTGAGTATATCGTACTGGTTTTTATTTTGCTTTTGCAGCAAGACAATGTTGAATCTGAGATTTAATTTATCCAAAAGATAAATTGACGATATGGAAAATTACAAACATCGATATTTTTTTTACATTTAGTTTCTTTTGCAATATCATTTTTTTAATCTAATTGTTTATAAGAATTGAACAGGTTGCATCAGTATAAGTTTTTCAAGATTTTATTAGAAATCTGTGTAACTTGAAGAAATTTTTATTCATATAACAGAAGTTACACTATTTATCTTTTCAAACATATATTTCTCTGGCATTTTATTTATATTTACTTGTTGAATTGTTCATTATATGACATGAAAATAGGATATAATTTAGAGATAACATATAAGTTATATATTCAGAATTCTTCATTAATTGATTCCAGATACATCTTTAAAATAAATAATTTAAAATTAATGTTGCAGATCAAGAGTTGTTGGATAACACTCATGTTTCGATATATCCATTGCTGTTTTTCTTTATAATTTTGATACCATAACTATCATTTTTGTGGAAAGTATATACCATACGTCTTACAAATTTATATGATGGAAGATCATCTTGATCTACAAGCACCACAATGGGTGGATTTTACTGAAACTTCTAGTCCAATGCGGATTCAGGATTTCTTTGAGAAAACACATCCAATACACGAAGCTACATGCATCGAATCAAAAGTACAGGAAGACTTGGATATTATAAAGAGTACTCCTATCAAGGTGGTCTCTCCAAAGCATCGTAATAATAAAGAAGTAGTAGATGTAGCAGAAACCACTTATGATCAAGTGCTTAATGATGCAATGAGAAAATTGGAACTCTGTAAAAAACCATCTAAAACTCGAGAAGCACTGAGTAAAACTATTCAAGAGTCAAATGTTTCGAAAACATCAAATACCACTAAACTCACTAAGTCATCTAGATCTGTTGGTTATCGCGGTATACCAAATAAATGTATTCAATCCCAACGAGACTTTAATGTGAACGCTAAGATCGAGAAAGATCAGAATCAAGCATTGAATAAGCACAGTTCTACAGTTCTTACCTGGTATAACCATAGACCAAGCTTACAAAAACGCAGAATATCAACAGCCAATAAGAAGTATGTTAGCCTAGCAGAAGCAGTGTCGCGCTTCCAAAATGAAACTCCTCAGCGTTTCCACACTAGAAGCAACAAGGTAAACACAACTAAGCCGCTTAATATTTCGAAATCGACACAAAATCGTCTAAAAATAACAGTACCGATTTCACCAGCACTTATGTCAAAGAACAGAACACGTCCTGTTACTGTACTAAGCCAACAAGAACGTGAAATATTGGAAATGGAAGAAATGAAGAAACATCCGATAAAAGCTAATCCAATACCGCCTAGCGTTCTGCGAAAATCACGAATTGTAACGAAAACCACTGGCGTCGTGAACAATTCAACAGTGGCCACGAATACCTCTTCTGTGACACAATCCAGAGAGAAACTTTGTACTACAAGTTCATTTAAGTCTAAGAGTCCGCAACTTCATCGCGATAAAGTCGGTCCAAAAAAGGTCACAAAAGTATTAGTAACCGATCCTTCTGGTATTATCGTAAAACAAGAAGAAGTAACATTTTTCGGCGTACCAAAAGATACCAGTGTCACGAGAAACGTAACGCGTGTTATACCATTTAGTTTCGAGGCGCGCAATAAGAATTTGCAGATGAAGAAGGAGCAACGATTAAAAAATCTGCAAGAGGCTAATAAGACCAAAGTGGAATTCCACGCCAGGCCAGTACCGAAGTTTACGAGATCATTGCCGTCATTGATCACTAAACAACAATCAGCAACAACTAAACAGCAAAATACAAAGAAATTTATCCTCCCAAGTCCCTTCAGCTTTGATCAGCGAGATAAAAAATTATCAGAAAAAAAGGAGCAATTAGTAAAACAAATACTCGATGAAGATAAGCGAGCGCGTGTGTTCCGCGCGAATCCAGTACCGATTTTCAAACCCGTGATGGTGCGCGGTAGATCGAAGGAAAAAGACAAAAGTACGGAAATGGTAAACGAACAAGAAAACAAACATGAAGATCAAGAGAACATGGAACCGAATGTACAGAAAACAGAGAATACCGGTTGCACTGTTGACAAACAGAAAATCACATCGTTGAAAAACCGTCCACTCTTAAATACCGATAAACGGGCGAAAGAACGACAAGAGTTCAATGAGAAGATAAGACGCAAGGAAATGGAAGAAGAAGCAAGACGTCAAGAAATCGAAAAAGAGAAACTCGAATCTGAAAAAGTAATGAAAGCAGAGTTGCGTAAGCAAGCGGAAATAAAAGCCAGACCGATGCCAGTATTTAAACCACCGGTCGTTAAGACAGCAACAAAACTCTTGACCAATCCACAAAGTCCTGCATTCGCAAGTAAACTTAAGTCAAAACAAACATGAAAATAACAATTAATTAGAGTATTGTGCTGTAATCTTTAAAAAGATCTAATATAATTGATTCGAATTATGAAAGACACAAATATAATAGGGATTATATTTATCTTTTTCATAATTTGAATAAGTTAATATCAGATCTTTACTTTATTGTTCGTTATTTAGTCCATATTTTTCTCAAATTTTTAATTAATTTTAATTAATTGACCTTCATTCTTTTTTATTAAATATTTTAAATTTATGACATCGTTCCTAATAACATAAATATTCTGCTTGTCTACGATAATTAATGACTATGATTTATGCTTTTTTCAATAATATTAAAATCGTTTATTCGGATAACATTTTGTTATTTTAATCCAAACCAATCTTAAAAACTCGTACAACAATCTAAATAAAAAAAAGAACAGTTTTCTTTATAATTTTAATTATATTTAATATTATACACTCTAATCATCCGTTAATATCAGCTTGTATATATACATATGTACATTTATATATATATATATATATATATATATATATATATATATATATAATGTATATATGTGTGTGTAATATTATAAAAATATATATATACATATATTATAAAATATATATAGTTATATTACAGATCTGAATATATTTCCAACTAGCATGTTAAATCCATTAGTTTCATTGAATTTCGAACAGAATTACAACATTTGTATTTAGAATGATGAATGAAACATTACTTAGAGTTCCACATTTGTGAGTAAATTCAACTTGAAATTCATTATGTTCACGTTACTGATTTTAACATTTTATAAAATTTATTTTAATCATCTTGCCGATAGAATATGTCTACTTCCTATAAGAATTATTTGTCAATTTACTGTTAACTACTATTTCTCTGATATTTTCTTGTCTCGCTTATCATGATAAAGTTGATGAAAGTGTGTTCACGAAGATACTGATAATTGATATCATAGAACGGAAGGAGATAACATTTTTCGACATGTCAAAGGACTAAGGCCATGGAGATGACTAGGGCAACATGCATCATACAGTTCAACTTGGAGCATGATAAAATGCAAATAAAGAAAGAGTAATCATTAAAGAATCAATAGGAAGACAAAATGGAATTCCACGCTAGTACTGAATGTTACAAAGTCATTGTCGTCATTGACCATTAAACAACAGCAAAATACAAAGATATTGATTTTCCCAAATCCCAAATTTCCGTTCGGCTTTACTAAGCGAGATAAAAAATTATCAGAGAAAAAGAAGCAATTAGTAAAATATGAAAAACGAAGTGCATAACAAGAATTTGTAGATGAAAAAAGCAACGACTGAAGAAGGTCATGATATAAATATTTATCAATAACGTGAAAATAATGAAATGGATATTCGAGGAGTAGATGCGCGTGTAAAGAATAAGCAATTAAATATAAAGAATTAGGAATATAACATTGTTTTCGCCCACTGAAGGAATACTTTGATATTCCTTAATTGTTATTGAAACTGTGGTTCTGTCAATCTAATTTTTTGTTCCTAATTCTATATTTTTAATTTTTTTTTTTGTTTCTTTTACTGTGTCTAGGCCTTCATATTTATCCCTTTTTATATCAGAAAAATATCAAATAATTTCTCTTTGAAAAATCATCTTGGTTTTTTCAGAATGTATATAAAAGAACAAGAAAATTTTGTTAAGTAAAATATATAACGTTATTAAATAAAACGCAATTATAATAATTATTACTCGTTATAAGGATGATGAATGTACATTATCTTAATTATAATCTATTTTAAATAGCAAATATGCGATTGTTGATTATATTAGACAATATGATACCGATGCATTTACAAATATATTATTTTGAAAGTGATAACTTAGCAACGTGTATGTATTTACGCAGAATTAAAATTTACAAATATCACGTTGTTAAGATCTTGTCTACATAAATAAATGTTTTTATTTATAGAAAATACGCTGTGCACTATGTACGTTAGATCAACGATTAATACGGTCATTAAGGAATTCTTGTCACGGTCACTTATTTTTAATGTAAATTATAATGACAATGTACAGAATGATATCACATACTACGCGGTAATTCCACTGTACAAACTTTCAAATAATCCAGTTTATGCTGTTCACTTACGCACTATACTAATTGTTCCGAACTAGTGGCACTAAGGTCGAGCAAACGCCACGCAGCCTTAGGATTGAGTTCCGTTCGATCACGACACAATACCCAGACATAATTGACACGCATTACTTTTTGGGGATCTCCTTCAACCACCTCGTTCTTTGAGTTTTTCACACACATGATTTGTTGAGATTGAAAACTAATTATTAAGACCGGTCCCTGTTCCATCATCTTGCCCATTACTAGATCCACATTGTCAATATCTGTGCGATTTTTTAAAATTAATTTTGAAGCACATAACGTATAATGAAACAGAATTCATAAAAAAGTACATACCTAGAATTTTACTATCTGAATAATGACCTAACTTTTTTATTTCCTTATGTGGCTGTGCGATTATGTTGTAAGGTCCCTCATGACACCAATCTCTTAGAATTTCGAGATCACCTTTGACCATCGCCTCAAGAATATTCGGGATAAAGTCGGTCTCACAATCTTTCAAGAATTGTATTTTACTAAAAGTAGGATCCAGGTTACAGATTTCTGTAAGTGTCTCTGATAATTCAGTCTTTTGAAATAGTCCGCCTATAATATCCGAAACTTTATCTGTAAGCAATCTGGAAGCGCGTAGTATGGCATTATCCGATTCATCGTATTTCATCTTCCAATCCATTACTTTATTCACGTATGGATTATTATCCTTTAAAAGAACATCCGATATTGTTAAATAAAGGCATTAATGTTTATTCACATGTATCGTTAACTTGTACACTATATGAAATTTATGAGACATCGTAGATAGATACCTTAAATTTTTGCCAGGCATTGGAAAATACATAGTCTTTGTGCACTTCTACACCTGTCGCTTTCTCATCAGGCATAATTTCTCTAGGTTCTATTGGCACTTCATTTCTCTTTCTTAATTTCTTAGGTGGGACGTAAACTTTGCCTACATCAAGCAATAATGAAATTTAATCTGCTCTCTATTCTCTGTGCTTATTCTGTCAAATCTATCTACCTAGAATTCCATGTTGGTCAAGTTCATTCCGTACAGCTTCTGCGGTATGCGATATTGTTTGAAATGCACCTGTCTTACCAAGTGCTTGGCTCTTCTCGGAAATTGTTTCTGCCGCATCTTTGGCTGATTTCGTAATCTCTTCGCCCAACTGGCCGGCGCGTTTCCCGAGTTCAGACTTACTCGCCTCCTCAATGACTTCTTGCAT